ATCACCAGGGGGAAAAAAAGGAAACAAAAAAAGGAAACAAAAGAAAATGAATGCAGCAACCTCATCTAAGGACTGGTAATGTGCAATATATTACATTTTTGTACTTCGGTTTAGCTACATTTGGACTACAGGATGCAGTGATGTAAAGATGCCCATAACAACCAAGGCCATTCCTTCCACAAATCAAGATAGTAGTTGTGTCTAAAGGTGCCCATACACTGCTCGATTCTCGTACGAGAATCGGGCGAAATCCCGCGATCGTACGAGAATCAAGCAGTGTGAACGAAGACGTGCGACCGTTTCTACTGTACGGTCGCACGTCTTTTGTCGAACCAACATGTTCGAAAACCCGCCGAGAATCGTACGATTGTCGGCGGGTTTCTAGCCTGCTCGTCCGATAGCTGCGGAACGGGCCGGTGTGCGCACGCGCACACTGCCCGTTCTGCATTGCGGTCATCGGAAGCCCGCCCCTCAGCGGGGCGGGCTTTTGATGATCGCAAGTACGATCTGCCCGTCCAAGGTGGGCAGATCGTACGGGCTTTCAATAAACATACGACCATCGCAAGACAAAAGTCTTGCGATGGTCGTAAGGTGTATGGGCACCTTAAAGCTGGCTAAAATTCAAGCCATGGGTGGCCCTGTCGGCGGCATTGGAGCCTTGGAGAGTTTTCTGGGGGGAATCTTTGAAGTGATCTGTGGGTCTTAGATTCTTTCTCACACATTAATAAAAATCAGATAAATCCATTTAATAGAAAAGTGAAATCCCAGCATGGTCGGTCTCGTTCACACCTAGGCGTATTGCATATGCGCGATTCGCGGTAAAAAAAAGTTGCGCGACCGTTGCGCGTTTCCGAAGGCTACTTGGCTGTATCCCAATGGAAACGCGCAACAAAACGGCCCAAAGTAGTACCTGTACCTTTTCAGGCGTGGGCCGTTTTGTAGTGCGTTAGGGACGGGCGGAAATACGCCAAGGTGGGAACGAGACCATTGAATACAATGGGATTTATATTTTTGAGCGTTTTGTAGAGCGTTCGTTCAGGTGTGAACGAGGGCTAAATGCAGACTTAAGCTGGGTACACATGGTCATATTTTGAGGTGGAATGGAAAAAAATATGACAGATTCTTCTATTCACGCTAACAGCATGGCCTGCTGTCAGAATACCCAAACAGCACTTGCGGCTGACTGAATGCCAGCACTGTTCATCTGATGAAATTCCAAAACGTCCCTTCGGCAAAAGTCGATCTAATGATTGACTTCTGTTGAGGAGATAAGGCCACCTATGGATCGAATTTTGTCAGATTCCTGCTGAAATTTGCTCCATGTACTCGGCTAAAAAAAATAAGCTAACCCTTGCAGTAGAGCTACCCCCGCACTGCAAGGCTGAACTGCTCATTTTGGTCTAGCATTCAGAAGATATACTCTCCTGATCCACGGTCCTGCGGCGTTGAGTGCTCACCTCTCTCACCCTCCGCTCCGTCCATCTATGTCCTCATGTCTAATGCAGGGGAATGGCCTGCATTAGATGTGATGACAACAGCAGGGCTTAGATCGCCAGATGCCGGAGAAGAGGATGCGGGGACTGGTCTACCAGCAAGGTGAAATCGAGAATAAGGGACTATATTGTTTTTAGACCAAAATGAGCAGTTAATACTTGCAGAGCAGGTGTAGCCCCACTGAAAGGGTTAACTTTTAGATTCCTGGAGTTCCTCTTTAAGAAATTCTTCACTTGCTTTAAACAACAGCACTTTGTACCTCAATTATCAGTTTTTCTTACCCATGTACAATACATTAATGCAGAAGCATATGAAACTAGATAGTGCTTCAATGCGATCTAGTGGTATTTTATTCCCATCACACATCCATATAACAGTTTAGTTTTATAATGCATGACATATAGATGGAGATCTCGGTTCTTCCTTATTAACCACTTGAAGACCAGGTGTTTACACCCCCTTACTGGCCAGGTCATTTTTCAGTGTTCAGCGCTGCAGTACTTTGACTGACATTTATTCCGTCATACAACGCTGTACTGAAATTAATTTTATGCCATTTTTGAGGGACACATAGAGCTTTCTTTTGGTGGCATTTAATCACCACTGGGGGTGGGGGAGGGAGGGGTTATTTTTTACTATATAATAAAAAATATATATACGAACATTTAAAAAAAAAAAACCTGTTCTGCTTACATTATGTTATAAAACATTTATTATTATCCATATTTTTGGTAAAATATAAAAGACAGGGTCACGCCGGGTAAAAAGACAACAAACATGTCAAGCTTTAAAATTGCGCGCATCTGCAAAAATCACAAAAAATACCACATCCAAAATTGACCATAGGCGACGCTTTAAAAGCTTTTACCGTTCATCAATTTAGTGTTATCAGTGAATATTGGCCCTAAAATATTGCTCTCACTCTGACGTTCGCAGTGATATGCAACATGTGCAGCGTAATCGTGTGACTTTATTTTTTGGGGGGAACTTTAATTTCTTTTTTTTTAACCTTTTTTTTTACTTAACTTTATTATTATCACATAGGGGGGCTAAGAATCCCCAATGTGTTTGCAAAGAGGATGTGACAGGTACTCTTTATGGAGACATCAAGGGTCTTTAAGACTCCCAATGTCACCCAAAGAAGCTGCTGAAGCAGAGGCGTTTTTGGGCGCATGATCGGCACCTCATACATCCGTCGGCTCTATAGCTCTAAAACTTTACTGGCTAAACTAAGTCTCCCCAAACTGTACCTTACCCAACTAAATCC